GGCAAATTGCAGTTGTTTAAATGCATACCTATATACATGTAATTATATATTGTACATATAAAATAAATAAAAAATTATATATTAATTAAGCCGGTTCGATCAGTGAACCATTGAACCGGTAGTTCGATGACCGGTTCGCTTTTTCAAAACATTGTTAAAAACAAAAAAATAATTGCAAAATTGGCAACTAGCATAAGTTTTTCAACAAAAACATGGCATTTTAAATCAACTAATATTTTAAATGCTAAGCATGCTTGGATATAATTTTTTTTTTTGTTTGGATTTTTTGATTTTGTTTGGTTAATTTTAAAAAATAAATCTGTACATATTGAAAGAGGTTGATAGAATAATCAAGAGAATTACTTTATATATATTACAGTCTTTTGAAATTAAGTGTTGCTTATAATAATTGCCACAATTTTTAAAATTTAGCATATCATGTTTAGAAATCTAAATAATATACTGAAATAAGGTATGAGTAAAGGAAGCTAGAGAGAGAAATATTATGTGCGTATTATTTCTTCACAATGTTTGAAACATGTTAAAAGTCCAGTATCCTTACTTATAAACATAAACTCTAAAATGTCAATTTTTTTATAACAAAGTGAAATAAATATATAAATTATATATTAAATTATTATATATCATAAATTAGAAGAAAAAAGAATATCAATATTCATAACTACTAGTGTGTAGCCCGTGCGATGCACGGGTAAATAATGTTAAATACTAATTATAAATTAAAGATGATAGTAAACAATATTAACTCATAATTATAAATTAAATATGAGGGTAAACAATATTAATTAATAATTGTAATTAAAATGTGGAGTTCATATGTGACATAATTTATCGTATATCAGATGTAAACAATATAAAATTATCTTGTATAAAATAACATAAAAAATGTATGTTTAAAATATTAAAAACACTTAAAATATTATATAACGTATGTAAAGTATCTAAAATTTTATATATCCTTATTGAAAGATGTGAAGTCACCTAAAATTTTTCTAAACTATTTTATAAATAGAACATGTTAAAATTATTTAAAAAAATATTGCCTACAATATATTATTCAATTTCCAAAAGATGATGATAAGTATAAGTTTGAATTTTAGAATCCACATGAGTATTAATTTTTAGATCCGTATACTATACAAATTATTCATTATGTTAATTTCCTCTGAACTTCACGTTGATTTATTGATTCTATTTTATTTCCAACAAAGTTGATCGTCTAATTTTGTTTACCATATTTTCGTGGATATTTAACAAAGTCGATTGCATTTATAAAATGATTTGGATATCAACATACAATTTATAATAGAGTTTTCAAAATTGTGTACTATTAACAAATAATATATTATAATATATTATCATTAAATATATTTTTTTAAATGCACAATTATTGAGACTGAGAATTTGAAAATTATTTTACCTTTTGAAATCGAGTATAAAAAAATAATAGATTGATAAAAAAAAATAATAAACATTACCAAGTTTATTATCACACGTTCCAAATAAAAAAATTGTGATGATTAGTGGAAAATGATATGTAAAGAATAGCATTCAATATATTTTTTTTGAAAGGCATAAATATAAAGACCAATATTCTAAAATTTTATTATTTTTGAATTGAGATTTTATAAATATAGAGACTTAGATTTTAATGTTACTCGGTGTTTCTATGAAAAAAAAAATAAAAATAAAAAATGAACACTTAATAGATCTTAGCTGAAATTTTTAAATAATAAAATGAATTAAACTCAAAATTAATGCAACATTTAATGTTAGTATGGTTTTTTAAAGATAAAAATATAAAATAAAAAAGACTTACTATTTATAGGTTGCATTAAATTCTCTCCTTTTTTTTGCTACTATTTTTGTTAAATGGTAATTCTTATTATATATATATAGATTTTTATACTAATTAATATTTATTTATTTATTTAATACATGCTCCCTCCCTCTCCGCGAAAAGAAAGGAATAAAATTAATCAATTGTTTTTATAGCCCCTGCTAATTTTTATTAGTGTTATCGAATAGATGCCGACAGCGGAGGAGAAGATGTCGAAGAAAAACAAAGACGTGATCCGGCTAGAGCAAGAATCCGTCATACCTGTCCTCAAGCCAAGGCTCATCGTCCACTTGGCCAACCTCATTGGTATTCTAATCTCTGTGTCTCGTGTTATTTGCTTTTTTCCTCTCCCAAAGTATTTGCTTAAACTGTATTTGGTGCGATTTTTCCGTTTGTTATGAGGGTCTTGGAATGCCCAGTCAAGGAAAATAAGATGATGGGCATAATTCTATTTTGTTGTTTGGTTTGTTACATTTCTCATTGTGGAGTATATCTATCACCACCCTCTTCAAATTGTGTGAACAATCCACTTTTTTTTTTTGCCTTGTGTGTTTGTGTGTGTGTTTAATTTCTTGAATATATATAGTACTGAGGACGCTGTATCAATTAGTCTGAAAGAGAAAGGAAAGGAATAAATGCAAAAAAGAGTGAGCAAGAGAAATAGAGAGAGAATTAGTCAATTGTCATTTTAAACCCTTTATAACCACAATTATGCACCTGTAACTCATGCAGAACATAGCTCTGATCGTACTGAGTTTTTGAAACTATGTAAGAGAGTGGAGTACACAATCCGAGCTTGGTACATGTTGCAGTTTGAGGACCTCATGGTAATATATGGCCTCATTAATCCTCTTTCATTAAATCTATATCCTACACCATCCCAGCTCAGGTTTATTACTCTTACATTTTTAACCTTGATTGGTTCAATTACTACAGCAATTGTACTCTCTCTTTGATCCTGTCCATGGCACTCAGAAATTGGAGCAACAGCGGTTATCTTCAGATGAAATTGACGTTCTTGAGCAGAATTTCTTGAGATATTTGTTTCAGGTATCATTTTACATATGTATATCCGGATATATGAGCTCTTCTCCCATCCAGAAAGTTCAGAGGTTTAGTTAACCCTAAGCTCACATTTTTATAATGTTATACCTGTGTGTGATTTTCCCTCACATTCCCATTACATATCATTTATGATTCTAATGCAAGAGGCTCCAAACCCTGGTAGGTGGTACACCAGGTTGCCTCAGTTGCTCTATGATATGTTGTTTGCTCTCCTATGAAACTTTCGATCTCCTACCTTGGGAAGAGGGCATAGGGGATGCAGCAGTCGTTTGCATCTGAGGCCTCCCTTTGTAAATCTTTTCTTATGGCAGTTATTTCCCATTGTTTTCTCTATTCTATTTTACTACGCAGGTTATGGAGAAAAGCAATTTCAAAATAGCCACTCAAGAAGAGATTGAGGTTGCGCATTCAGGGCAGTATCTCCTCAATCTGCCCATCACAGTTGATGAATCTAAGGTTATACCATTGTATACACATTGATCATTATGTGGTATATTGCGTCCATTTTGTTCATAGAACTACTTTTTGCTGGGTGTAGCTTGATAAGAAGCTTTTGAAGAGTTTCTTCGAATCTAATCCTCATGAGAACCTTCCTGATTTTGCCGATAAGGTACCCCTCTTTCTTTGAGTAATTAATTAGGACTACGATCTCAGATCTTTTTATTTTAAAGTTTTGATCTTTAGGTTTTTTTCGATGAATTTGTTTCGTGGCTGTTATTTTGATATTGATCATAGTAAATATCTTCATTTCCCAATTATAATGTGGATATATTCTCACGACATTAAAGATAATCTGGATGTTTACATAGGTGTATAAATGGGAAAGGGGATATTTCCCCTTGTTATACTTATATCTAATTGAATAATAGATTCTTGTCAATATCGCTGAGTTATTGCGAGTGCTCTGTTTTCATGTCATATTAATTTAAAGCAGAGAATATAGGTCGAAGGTAGATATGTATATATAACCATAATGAGGGTATAAGGTAAAAGTTAGAAGAGAGAAATAACAGTGAATACAAATTTATATTATTTGAATATGCACTGTAGTTATGAGATGGTTAGTTTCGAAAGGTTGCTTTAATTTAACAATTGATTACAAAAGATGTTTGGCATATAGGTGTAGGCTCCAGATAACTTACCAGAATCTATTCTAGTGCCCCTCTAAAACCACATCATCTTAAAAAGACCTGGAATACTGTTTTGGTGAAATTGAATAGAAACCATATGGGACAAATACTGTTAACTTGAATCTTCATTATCCAGTTGATAGTATAATTTAACTATCTTTTTAATTTTTGCAACGGATCCATTTCTCAATTGTTTGACCTGTTTCTTGAATCCCGCTCAACGCTTTTATATAGCCCCCCCTCTCTGCGGTATTTGTTTGGTTACATTCTTTTATTCATCTCATCTACTTACCCCTGACACAATGTATAAAAATGGTCAAGGCTAGTATGGTATAACTGGTGATTGGAATTTTGCAAACAGTAGAATGATGAGTCACCTGTCATTTTAATGTACAGAAGCTGTACAATGTGATTTAGTTTGTTTTAAGTATATTATATATTCTGAGAGAGTAGTAAAGACTGTCATATTTATGTATCTTTCTCTTTCAGTACATAATATTCCGGCGTGGGATCGGCATTGATAAGACAACTGATTATTTTTTCATGGAGAAAGTGGATGTGATCATTTCACGTTTCTGGTCATGGATTTTGAGAAAGACCAGGTATCCTTTACTCCATTTTTAGCTGAAAACGTTGAGCATGATGGAAAATATTAAGCATATATATTACATTACAATTTTTATCTTGTTCCTTATACTCCATTTTTAGCTTATAAAACTTCATCTGGTTGGGTTTTCCTGTACCCTTTAATGTGGCATTCTGGGTGGGAAATGTTTTTGACTTACAGATTAGAGAAGGTTCTTTCGAGAAGATCAAGTTCACGGCTTAAGAAGGATCCAAAAAAAGACGATGGAATTGTCTCTGAAGCAGAATCTGATGACTTATACGTTGAGCGTGTCCGTCTTGAGAATATGGAGCTAAGGTTTTCTGAAACAGTCTGCTGTAGTGTTTCTTATCATTGTCCTTTTTGTTCTTCTTCGTCAGTTTTTTCAGCATTTGGAATCTAAACTTCGAACTATAAGTGGCTGTTTAAAAGATTTTCCTTGTAATTGTTACTTTACAGTTTACAGATGCTGCATGATGAACATCTGAACTCAACACTAGTGCATTCTGTTAAAATATTCTTAGAAGTTGCTCAAATTCAAAGTTCAATTTGTTTAACTAGTACCAGTAAGTAGATGTTCGTTCCTAAAGGGAAAAGATCTTAGAAGTACTTTCATTATTATTAATTCTTAATAGATGGAAATATACGGCGCAGGGATGGTTTATTTTTGCTAAGCTTTTCTATCTTGTAACCTTTGATGAAAGAGTTTAAGCTCTAATGGTGCTGAAAAGTCAAGTTCAGCGTGTTAGTATTTATATGCTGTAAGGTTATTTTATTGTTGTTGTTGTTAAGGTTATTTTATTGACGTGTTTACTAATGTTATATTGTTGATGGCTCTTGTTTCAGTTTACGGAACTTGTTGAGTAAACTTACAATTCAAGAACCCACTTTTGATAGGATCATTGTTGTCTACAGGTATTATCTGATATAAATTGTTATTGAATTACTATTACCTGTTTGTGACAATTCTGTTATTTATTCTTCCCCATGACTGTTTTGTAGAATCCGTTGTGGCAGTGCTAGGTTTCTTAATTTGTTGTCACATATATACAAAGCTATTTGGCTTTTCTCCTCTTAGCTCAACTGAACTCTATCTTGACCTATCAATTTCTTTTGTTGAGGAATTTAGGGTGTGTTTGTTTATAAATTATTTCAACTCATACTCAAAATCTAACTCAACTTTAACTCAACCCTACTATCCTCAATATTATCAATATAATTAAATAATACCAGCCAATCATTTTTACATATTGGTTCTCTTGGGTTTCATCTCTAGCCTACCCAGCCTACCCCAACTTGCTTGGGACTAAAAGGCTATATTGTTGTTGTTGTTGTAATCATTTTTACATATCATATCAACTTTAATTTACTATTCAGCCACTCATATAATTTTAACTAACCACCACTTCACATCATCTCTCTCATACTTTTACATCAAATCAATTTTAGTTATTTTGTTTAAAATATTATTTATTATAAACTCAAAATCCCACTAACAACTAATCATACCAACTTTTTCAAAATTAACTCTGGTTAACAAAAAAAAAAAAAAATCGCTTTGAGTGGATATATTTGTATACAAGCACACACTTAGTAATTTACTGACAACTTGCAATGAAGCAATTGTTTCTCCTAGTCCTGGATGGTTTTTGGAGTTACCAATGAAAAAATGGACATAGCTTTAGGACAGAGATTGCTTATTGCTTGAGAAAAGTTAAACCACCCATTGTACATATAGTGAACTCCTTCACTTGCTTTTTTCCATCTTCCAGTAGTCCTTTACTGGTTAACAAGCAAAGTCTGCGTGCAGGCGAGCAAGTTCTAAAATAAAATCAGAGCGAGGCATATATGTGAAGCATTTCAAAAACATTCCATGGCCGATATGGAAATTGTCCTGGTGTGTACTCTTATCTTCTTTCTTGGTCATTTTCTTTTATCATCTTCTAATTTTGTTTTGTTTAGACGCTGATATGTTTTTACATTTAATTTTTGTCAAATAGCCAGAGAAAAAGAATCCAGGTTTAACTCCAATGGATTGGGTTAAATTTCTTATATCTGCAGTTGTAGGACTGGTTAGTCAACTTGTTGCCATTTGTACCCTTCAGTTCCATACATTTTTCACTTATTTATATTTTAGGGGAATCTTTCAGGTCGCTGTTGTTGGATCTGTTGAAATGCCCAAAGCTGACCTGTGGGTGATTTTTGCTATTCTTTCCACAGTGATTGGTTATTGTGCTAGATTTACTTCACGTAAGTATTTCCTGCCTTGTAACTTTTCTCCTTCCTTTTTCTCTCAGTGTTTATGATTTTTTTGTAAGTCTTTTAGAAAATGAATATTGCTGCTAGTTCAAGCCATATAAAAAGCCACTGAATACAAAATGTAATGTCATTATCATGGCTTTGAACCTTTTTTTATATATTTATTCTTGAATTTGAGTGTCTTCACGTTCTACATGTTGGAATGTGCATGGGTAGCATGCTAATCCATCCAATCTTCAGACTTAATTTGTTGTGAAGAGGCTGTTTTTTGACTTTAGAGGGCAGGCTCACAATACTTGTATTAGTAATGATCTGATGCTGATTGTGGACTTTCTGAGGTTTCATTTGTTTTTCCATTTTGATGGTTTACTCTGATGTCTGTCTATTTGGTTGGGTATTGATTTTGCTTGTATCTAATTGTCAGGTTTCAACAGAATATGGCTACTTATCAGAACCTAATAACTCAATCTATGTATGACAAGCAGTTGGATAGTGGAAGGGGCACTCTTCTTCACTTGTGTGATGACGTAATTCAGCAAGAAGTATGATAAAACTTTAGTTATTTTGCCAATTTTAAGTCATGATACTTTGAGCTTCATATATGTAGTCTAGAAGCATGTATAACAGAAAAAACATGCAATGCGAACTAAATTTTCATCGCAGAATTTATTATCACAAAGAATTTTCTTATAAACATCCAATCAGTAGAATCGGACATTGTAAACTCTTTCCTTCCCTCTGGGTTTGATGGAATGCTGATGGGAGTTTATTTTCTCTCCAAGTAAAGCATGTTAGGGCTGTTGACATTTTAAATGAGTAAATGGTTATACAGTACGAATTGTTGAATATGAAGTGTCCTTAGTGATTAATGCACTTCAATTTCTAAAATTAAATTTCTGTATCACAAATTTGCAGGTGAAAGAGGTCATAATTTCATTTTTCATATTGATGGAAAACGGGAAAGCCACTTTGGAGGTAAGTAGAGATGGTGCCTTTCTATATTTGCAGATTTCTGTTGACTAGAGCTAGATATTTACAATTTAATATACATATATATTCTTTACGTGAACAGGATCTTGATCAGCAATGTGAGGAATTAATACGAGATGAGTTTGGTGAACGCTGTAATTTTGATGTTGATGATGCGGTTCACAAATTGGAGAAATTGGGCATAGTTTGTCGCGTGAGATTCAATTAGCATATTACTTTACTTACTTTCATATAAAGGATATATTTATGAGTATGTTATGAAATCATTTCTGTGAGTTGAAGTGTCGAACAAGGTCTCTGTCTATCCCTCCCTCAACTTGCATGGTTGGATATGTAATTTTATTCTTGCTGCTTTTGGGTTTTTTGAGATGTAATAATAAGTAACACATTCATTTGTTTGAGTAACCATAACTGACTTGTTTGTTGTGATGATATTAGGATACAATTGGAAGGTATTACAGCGTTGGGCTAAAAAGGGCGAATGAGATCATCGGCACAACCACCGAAGAACTTGTACTGAAAGCTAAACAAGGATCTGCTTCTGCTTGAAATATAGTATTATGACTATGAGCAGCCTTTGAATTTCAGGTCCTTTGTTTTGCTTCCAATGGCGTAAAACCTGAAAATTTAAGAGTGCGATAGTTCTAGTTTTAGTAGTTGATTGAAGATGTCCATTTTAGTTGTCTTGTAGATGTTGGATGCGGCGTGGTTGTAATTCGGTGAAACTGAATGCACCGTCACTAGTTATTTTTATTTATTTTATTATGTTCAATTTTTAGTCATGTATTCTTTCATTATTAGGTGCGCTATCTTGTACTAAATTGCATGCTTTCTAGTTTCTACCACATCCACTGATCCACACGGACACGTGACTCTATTTGATTTTTTTTTTCTTAATAAAAAAAGGCTTATAGCCCTATTACATCATCAAGTTCTTACATAACATAGGAGAAAAAGATTGGAATACAATCGGAACACATTATCGTGGTTTTGGGTCCCACCGTCCACTTAGTAATGGCGTGAGCAATTGCATTATGAAGTCGATTGGTATACTAACAGAGTCCATAGTCTAATGAATCCAAGAGTGTCAGGATGTTCGAGAAAATACCTTCAAAAAGGTGATGTGAATCATTCGCAATCAGCCCTTGCACTACTTCAAGACAATCCGTTGTGACTTGTTTGATCTTCATTCGCATCATAGAAGCGAACTTTAACCAAATTGAATAGACAAAGCCTCAGCCGAAGTTGGAGAGAATGAACATGACATATGGGATGCAAAAACGCTACTACAAGGCCTTCTGAATTTTTTATCCAGCCTCCCAAATCAATTTCAGAATCTCGTACAGCTGCATCACATTGAAGATAACGACTTTGTTTGGCAATCAGCTGTTAGCGGTTAGCTGTTAGCTGATCATATCAGCTATTTTGACCAACTGATTGTATTAGCTGTTTTGACCACGGATTAGATTAACGGATTGTGTTAGCGTTTGGTAAAATTAGCTGATTGATGTTAATAAGTTGAATAAAATAACTAATGTGAGTAAATATATAATTACTCAAATAATAATAATAATAATAACAATAATAATAATAATCATTTATTAAATATATATAGAGAGAGAGAGAGAATTATAACATAACTTTTTTGAAAATAAGGACATATGTTCACTTATTCTTTTATATTGAAAAATAAAAAGTTTCACATAAGAATACAAAATTAATGAAAGTAGCCTTTAAGCATGCCAACTCATTAAGAACAAAAAAACAATTAAAATAATTACCGATAAAAAATAGAATCTAAAAATACTTATTCAATCATTGTAGATTGAAGGGACCTAATTTCTTAAAACAAATAATAAAATAAAATAAAAAAGCAATTTTACAGCATACAAACGACCCAAAAAATGTGTACTTTTCACATAATTAAAGAAATAAATTTGAAATCCGCTAAACCCAAACGCTACTCCATGCAGCGTCTCTAAATTGGCGTTTCGGACAAAACAGCCATTACCACCAGCTCTTTTACCAAACAATATTTTTTAGCTAGTCAAACTTTCAAAACAGCTAAAAGGCCCAAAAAAGCTAAAAGTTAGCGGAAACGCTAACAACCTAACGTAGCCAACATCCATTTTCATTCTCTTTTCTTCCCTTCCAAGCCCAATGATCCTTTACGACGCTACCAATATAATCGGAAATAGTGCAAGCTTGGGCATGATCGTAGTCCTTCACCCATCTTAAGCCTTTATCTATCATCACGTCAATATCACTCAAACGACCTCGCTTCAAAAGTAAATTTCTATCCTGCCACACGAGCCACAGAAACATAACAAAAGCTTGAAATCTGCTTTCTTGCAGCCATCTGAGATGCTCACAAGCCTCATCCATAAATGTTGCCCCCGCCATTTCGAGATCTCATTCCACCAACCACACCGTTTCCAAAACTTCTTCACCCACCAACAATCAAAGAAAGCGTGGTTATTTGATTTGTATTCTCAAATCATATCAGATCGAAATAATTTTCATCGACGAGCCAACCTGTGACAAACCACTCCGAATTGGGGCTAAAGGATATACCTTACACCACGATTTTGAATCAAAAGAGAGATTTCAAGAAATGGCAGATCTATTCACTCTATCAATAACCGAGCCGGATCTGATGTATCATAAGGGATTTGTCTTTTCTATTGAATCCTATGGTTTGGATAAAAAAGAATTCTTGAATCAGTCCAGAGATGAATCGAAAAAGAAATCTTTATTAGTTCTACCTCTTATTTTTTTATTTTTATGAAGAGAATAAATCTTTTTCTCGAAGGATCAGAACAAAACGGGTCTGGATCACCTGCGGGAATTCCATCTAGGACAATTAACGTATGAATTAATGTCTTCGGTGGAGGTTTTCCCCTGAAGGGATCGCCCAGTGTGATAAACGCCACATGAATGATTTTATTTTTGGCGGAAGATGTAACCACCAGAGCAAACGCCACCAAAACACTAGACCAATTGTACTCGAGGATGGATCACTAACAGTCATCATAGTTTATCATTCAAACCTCATGATAAAATTGAAATTGATGAATTGTTTTCACCTATATTACAACTAGAAGCACCTAAAAGATCTTTTCAAATACATAGAATTTCGTCTTTCGTTAGAGCTAAAATAGACTACATTATTCCCAAGCAGAATAATGAAAAAAATAAAGCTAGTTCTTAAAAAATAGATACTTCCACTGAAGTAATCATAAAATCTAATAATAAAATATATAAGATTGAACAAAAAGTTCAAGAGATAAGTAAAGAATTAGGACTTACGATACAATACATTCTAACAAAAAGATAAATATCAGATAACGAAACTACTTTCGTTATATCGTAATAAAAAACGAAAGAACATTCGTTATATAACATAAGGGTATTATTGACCTTTTAGTTACCACATTTTATAAAAAATGAATGGAGGTCATTTGCACAAAAAAGACCTTTGACTAGGTCTCTTAAATAAAGATCTCGGTTAAGATCGGATATAATATGTGCCTACAAACAATACGGAAACACACAATCACTCCCTCCCCTCCACAAAAACATCAAAACGATAGAGCATTAGAGCTATATTAGATAGACCAGTATATTTGATATGGCGGCAGCCTTGTTCTGGCTATCTGCGCCATGCCCCTCGCCGCCGAACTTAGTTCGGCTTAGCAATAGCCGCCACCCTTACAACCCTATTTTTTCTAATTTTACTTCTTCACAGGACTATGGCCGCCGCCCCCCAATACATGTTACTTCTTCTTCTCCTACAATTACACACACTTTGAGATCCTTCCGCTGTTTCGCATGTATTATTTATTGTTTTTTTTTTTTTTTTTTTTTTTCATTTTTGTTAATTAAATAAATAATTAATTGAGCCTTCTTCAAATTTTTAGGGATTCGTTGGTCTTAACAGAAATTGGAATATTTTTAATCAATCCTTGGTTAATCCTGCACCAGCTCTTGCTCCAGAGTTGAAGAGCAGCTTGGATAAAGTTGTTAACTCTCACAAGGTAATTGTGTTCATCAAAGGAACTAAGGAATTCCCCCAATGCGGTTTTTCCAATATTGTTGTGCAGATACTCAAATCCTTAAATGTGGCCTTTGAAACCATCAATATCATGGAGAATGAGTTATTGCGTCAGGCGCTGAAAGAGTACTCTAGCTGGCCAACTTTTCCGCAATTGTACGTTGACAGTATTGTGGGTAAGTGCTAGTTTTGTTTATATCCTAGAGTGGTTTTAAAAGTTGAAACATAAACGTTTCATTTTACTCTCAAGGTATGAAATCAAATTCTAGATTTTAGATCATTAATTTGGTTCTAAAACGATGACAATACGTTACCAGATTGAGAGAGATAGGTGCTGAGATCAAAGATATAGCTTCCTTACACTTTCCATGATGTGTTGCTTATTAGCTGTTACTTGGTCAGTGAATACATACATCAGATGGACAAGAAATGGAGAAAATCTTGGTGGTTTTTAAATTATGCCTACTCATGGGGCAAATATTTTGTTCATTTTAATTGTTTTAAATTATGCCTACTCATGGGGCAAAATCTTGGTGGTTTTTAATTGTTTTAAATTATGCCTACTCATGGGGCAAATATTTTGTTCTTTTTTTTTTTCGATCTCTTCCTTTCGGTTCGAGTCTTTTGTGTTTCTCTTGGGTTTCATCTCTAGCCTACCCCGACTTGCTTGGGACTAAAGGCTATGTTGTTGTTGTTGTTGTTGTAATTGTTTTCATGAATTCTGAAACAGAAGCATACAAGAGCGGAGAGTTGCATGAAGTAGTGGAGAGAGCGATATGTTCGTGAATACTTGATATTCAACTTCACTGCTGCTACACCTTGTACGTGTGCCTAATTGGTTATATGTCAAAAATCTCATCCTTCCTCTTATGTTTGAGTAATAAGACTGAATCTTGATATTCATGTTTGAGCTAATAAATCACACACTTTGTCCAGATGTCCTAAGCAATTCTCAACTTTTATTCAGCTCAGTTTTTCTGCATAGCCTCATGTTATTATTTGCTTTTTTGGCTCTTGCTCACCACAGTACTTCTGATTACTTGTTTGTTGCATGTCCAAATTCCACCGCTAAAATAGCTACCCAATTATATTCTATATAGGCTTCGATGAAATCATGGTCATTTTTTATTTTAAATTTGGAAATGAAAAATGATGCATAGCCAACCTAGTGTACAACTAGGTTGATGACACAAGTGAGAACATCAACTTGTGTATTTTTTTTAGAGAAATGCTATAATGTAAAGAAATGCATAACCACCATGGATAATCGTCGGGGAGAGAGTCGTCGCCCTCGTAGCCCTCGGGATAGAGAAGCGTCTCCTTAACCGCCTCGCGGTCGAGCTTCCCCTCGAATTCGGACCCCGACACCACCGCCTCCCATGCGGAAAAAGTATGCTCGAAGTATTGGAGGGTGGCGGGGCAGAGCTTCTCGAGGAAGGCGGAAGAGTTGCAAAAGGCCTTGACGACCTCCTAGCGATAGGTCTCAAGGAAGACGGCGCCCATTGGGGACTTCAAAAACGTCCTGCGCCCCTCCTCGACGCCGCTCTCCCTCTCGGCCATAGCATCATCACGAGCTTTGTCGAGGTCGGCCTTGAGCTTGTCGTTCAGGTGCCGAAAAACGGCCTTATCGGCCTTTAACTTGTCAACGAGGGCCTTTGAGGCCTCCAGATCTTCTTTCAGCGCCTCGATTTCCTGGCACTGAGCCTCACACGTGTCCTCGAGGGACTTGGTGGAGGCGAAGGGAGCCTTGCTCGTCTCCTCGAAGCAAGGGAGCGCCGCGGCCAGGAACTGCGAAAGAATATGAAAAACAGATGAGAAAAAGATAAATCAAGTTTAAAAAGAAAAACGCAAAAACCAAGTCGATGGAAGGATAGGGAAATACCCGGGAAAGGCACTGAACAGCATAATTCGAGCGCTCGTATAGGGTCCCCTCGACACGCTCCTTGTCGTCCTCAGGAATGAGGGAGTTGAGGTACTGGGCCACGTGGTACGGCTCCGGATGATTCCAGAGCCGAGAAGGCATCTTAACCGTCACGTCCTTGACGGTGATAGGGGAGGGGATCTTCTTCTCGACCGCCTTTCCCTTCCCCTTGTCGACTTTACGACGCTTTAGATCGTCGGGGATGAGGATGGCGGCCCGATCGTGAGGGAGGGACAGGACCACCAGCCGGCTGGCCAGACGACTGGCCCTTCTTGAGCTCGAAGCGTTTGAGCGCTTTAACTGAAAAAATAGAAGAGAAGTTAGCATGTGAAGAACACTTGACGGTCATCATGCGAAGGATCAAAACTCATAAACAGTTGCACAAAAAGGAACAATAATAGCTTACGAGGGTCATCGAGACGAGGAAGGTCCTCGTAAAGGACGATTAGGGCGTGGTTGACCAATTCACGGTCCTTTATTAATTGACGAGCACTATACGTATGCTTATTAAGCTCCGTCAATAGGGTAGCGAACTCGTCAGATTGGGGCCGTTTATTTTGTTTAACTTTCGAGGTGATCCATTTATTAACATAAGGATACATGCCAGGAGCAGGTCGAATAAATACGTACTTCGACTTCCACTCAGTCACGTTCGACGAAAGATCGTCGAGGAAAGTGACGCCGGCGCGACGACCCAGACAATGGGTGTCTTTGGAAAGACGATAACCGTAGCAGTAAAAGAAAAACTCGGGAGAAGAATTTGAGTATTATTCGGGAAACGACTATGAAAGCCATCATGATGCGAATAGCATTTGGGGAAAATTGATTGATGGGAATATTGTACAAATTGCTTATTAATATTAACTCGTCTTGGATAGGAAAGCGAAGGCCAAAGACGACTTGATCTATAAAAAACGTGTGACAGCCGGGAGGAGGATGGGCGAAATCGTCATTAGGACCAGGGGCGACTAACTCCCAATCCGAGGGAAGCCCACTGAACTTTCTGAAGCCCTCGACTTCGGCTGCAGAGGCATAACAAAATGGATTTAGAACAGCTAACCTAGCTAAGGGACAAGCTACTGATACAGTATTTTGAGAATCGGGGAGAGGAGCAATTATTGGTACAGATACAGGACTCGTTCTATAAACAGGGATATCTAAGAACCTAAGAGGAATACCTCGAGGAATAAGGTCGAGACGAGGAAGATTTCCTCAAGGAGGGCTCTTCACGATGTCGACTAAGCCGCCCTCCAAGAGCGCTTGGTCGTGCTGCTCCCAGTCGGCAGAAGAAGCAGTGGCGAGAGGAGGAGAAGAACGGGAAGGCGGCGAAACCATCTTAAAGCCGGTCACCTCGACGGAGTCAGAGCTAGAGTCCTCGTCGACTAGATGGGTATAGTCGTTGATCTGCTGACCAAGGGAGCCGGATAGAGGGGACGAGTTAGGAGCTAAGGAAAGAAAAAGAAGGAGAAGGTCGAAGTTAGTAAAGTCACGAGTTAAAACCCACGAGAACGAGTCAAATCGACTCGCAGGGAGCGACAAAAAGATAAAAGGACAGAGAAGGGGTAATTGCTATCGACAACTCGATCCAAATAAATGGGTAAGTCGATCCGGGTCGACTCGACAGAGGCAAACCAAAGGAAGAAGACCACTAAGTCGACAAGAGCCGACTCAGCGACAGGTGAAAATCGACTGCACATCGGCAGCCAGCGACTAGCAAAAACAACAAATCCTAGCAGAATATGCGCGAAGAAAGATTGAATGCAAAATCCGTAAGAAATCCGTGAAGAACATGAAGAACACGCATGAACTTCAGATTCAAAAAAGCCAGAAAAACCAAAAAAGGAAAAACCGACAGAAAATAGAGAGATAAGAGAAAATAACGAACTTACACATGGTGGTTTAGTAGATTGAAACCTTGAACGAACTTGAAGTTGCCGGAAGTGGAGAATGCCGGGGAAGCCGAAGTGCGAAAATTGCCGGAGATGCTTGAAGAAGTCTGAGAGAGCAGGAAGTTCGAGAATGCGAAAAATGACCTCTTGAGAGGAGGAAGCGTATTTATAGGCGGAGAGAACTGATGCTGATCGTTGGATTAAACCAACGGCCCTGATGAAGCACGGAATGCGAGGAGTTGGCGATGGAGATGACGCGTGTCATTTTAGGGTTTTGAAATTTGAAATTTGAAATGGGTTTGTCAAAGTGTCAGACTTATTCGAAAAGACAATCATGAGTTTGAGGTGCGCCCTAATTGATTGACGAGACGAGTTGCATGTCGACATAATTATATTTGACCAATTATATTTCACCAAATTTACTCTTAAGCAGTCGACTGCTTAGAGTAATTTGGGAAGGGACTAGATGATATAGCCACATAAGGATAACCCGGTCCAGAAGCTCCTTACTCAACCAACAAACCACTCGAACTACCCGCATGTCGACATGACTCCGTCGACATGCTCAAATCGACTTCCCTAAGGTCGATTCTACTGAGGGCAATCAAGAAGAAGGAGAAATTGGTCTAGTCGACTCTCGCAAGTCGACCTTAATCTATCGACTTTCACTAGTCGGCATCAATGAAAGAGTAACAGCAAGAGTACAGCGCCCGAGCATCTTGATATCCTAAGTCGACTTCCAGAAGTCGACTGAACTAAGACGACTCGATGAAAGACGACTTCACCTCAAAGAATTAGTCAAGCGCAGCCTTCGAATCCGCACATATCCATGAGTCGACTTCCTAGACCTTGAGGTCGACCTCATATACCTTAAATAACAAAGATGTGATGACGACTCATCACACTTATACCTTGAAGGATAAGAAGGAATCTGTTGATGACTCATCAACAAGGGGAGACGAATCGACAGGGGCATTTTGGACCTTCTAGGTCCACCGATTTGGGCATTCTGGGTACTTCAGGTAAATATTCACTCCTATATAAAGGAGGTGAGGTAACCCTAAACCCTAACTCTCATTCATTCCCACTTTCCCTATAGCTGCTGCGCAGCCTCTCCTCATCACTCACATACTGACTTGAGCGTCGGAGGCTCTACACCAGAAACACCTCCGGCGTTGAGTTTTTGCAGGCATTCTCGCGGTCTAGCAACGAATTGGAGGCGGTTCAAGCAGATCTGAGCTCATAACCACCGGTTTACTTCAGATCTGGAAGTAGACCCATCAATATCGATTATACTTGATTAGCTAAATAATATTCACTAATATTTTTGTAGTTTTTTATCTTGTTTAAAAGAACATTAAACATGTATGTTTAAAA